TTCTAAAGATTGGAAGATTCATCAAGTGGAAGTGTTCTCGTATGCGACGGTGCGGGGGTATCTTGTCCTTGTACCGAAGCAAAACACGTATCTATCTTAAACCTCGGTATCGGTTTCCTCCTCTGGATAAAGACTTCGCAGCAGGGCACAACATACTTAAAATGATCCATCACGTAGAATCGCATCGCATGCATGTGTCCTCATAATAATGGAGTTGCACCTCGGGACAGCTTGTCATGGTCCAGTTCGAATAAACGTCTCCAACTTGTGGGACTTCGTAATATGGTGAAGTTAGACCATTATTTTCAATCATTCTCTTCCTCTCCGCCATTGATCATGTCGTTGACCACAAAATCTACTCACGACATGCCACCGCATGCTCATCACAGCCCTCTCGATCATGTAAATCCATGGCCATATAATGTGCCATCAGTACTTGCAATCTGTTGCGTGCTTGCTATCTCGTAGCTAGCCATTGCATCAATCAACTACCTACCCCACTAGTCTTGGTCTGCTGGTCACTTTCCATCTACTAATGCCCGGCAGCTTGCTCGGTGGAATCCAAGACACAAGTATTGTTGCCTTCTGAGGCCAGCCAGTCCTCTCCCTTGCCGCATTCCAGACTCTTAGACTGGTCCACGCTCCATGCACTGTCTCGTATATGATCGGGAGGGATATGCTATGCTGATTGATTTGGGAAGATAGCCAGCAAAAAATACCATCTTCCGGACACCCTACTAATATACTTTGTGCCTACCTATAATATTTCCATTCGATATGCTTCTTGTGTTAAACTTTGTTGTTTTGTTTCAGTGCCAGAAAAGAAAATGTATATATCTCTCTCTATTTTTCTGTATTTCAGCTGACCTTTTCATCATATATAGCTTCTTTTTTTCTTTTGAGGGTTGAAACTCGAGAAAAGTTGCTAATTTGGATCTCATATGAGAACAGAGATTCCCTAAAAAGTTAATAGGCAAAGAGACGAATGAGTCATTCCATCATTTGACGGTGTGAGAACCATGCACAGAGCATCAAGTTTTTCATCGGGTGCCTCTCGACCGCTCGCTCACATAGCTCGATAACAGTAATACACACGGAGCACTTGTATCAGTTCCCAGAGTGTACAGAATGTGAGTAGGTGCAGTATGTGATTGTTCATGTTCAGTAAATTACTTTTGGATAATGGTGGCCCGATGTCAAGTCATTCTTCATGAAGAACAATGCTTGCTTTTTACCAAGTATCACCGGTAATGGTGGGTGGAGTCGTGGTTTGCAATCTAAGGTGCTGCTTCATCCCTGTGGTTTGATGTGGATGGTCAAACGTTTACCATGAGAACATTCCTAATCCATCTCAATTGTTCTACCAGGAAGCTGCAAGGAAGCAGAGCTACAGTGGTTCAACCACGATCACACATTGTTCCTAGCAGATTTTTCTCCACACAACTGATTGAAACGAGTCTCTCCTCGTGGCCGAGGTTCCACCGGAGTATACGTGCTATCAGCAGATTTGACTCTCCTTGTGGTCAATCCATCTGGTCATATATACCCTCATAATCACCATCCCACCCAGTGATTCATCTTCGATGTTGTTGATCATGAGTTAAACATGCTGAATTGTGAAAAGAATGGCCCAAGTCAGAGCATTCTTCCCTGTCTTAACTCGGATCCAATTCAGCATCCACAACCCAGACTTTCATCCTCCACATGAACACCCTCCCCTCCTGTGTCTTGGATGAAAGAAACAAGCACACAGTCTTCCAGTCTTCATCATTTTTGTCAGCTTGCTTTATAGTAGACAACAATCTAATCCACAATTTCATATCATCCATTGTCGATAAATCTACCCCCCAACACATTGCAGCTACTATTGTGCCTCGAATATGAACTCTGATAAAAACTCAGGTGGGACCGGTTCAGCCATCTCGAATGCCAACCAAGAATTGAGTTGCAGGTGCTTCCACAAAAGGCTTCGGGAAAACATAATTTTTCTAGTGTTGCAAGTAACTCTAGGATGAAAATTCTATGGGGACCTAAGAGCACCTTACGAGAGAGACTGGTTATCTGCCCTGTTCTTAAAGCAGGGATGCCACAATCTTAACAGCCTACGTGATGATGCGAAGAGGAAGTCGATGAGCATCATCACCTTCTTATCACTCTGCTCTAAAACCATAGGGGAATACTCGGTACTCTCTTTTTCCCTTGCCAATAGATTTTTTTTTTTTTTTTCTGTCAGGAGCTCCTCGTGAAATTTTAATCCAACACAATAATGGCTTCAAACATTTGCAAGTTCCTCAGACAGATAGTAACATCCTGATACCATATGGCTATCCTACAGCCTTTCTGAAAGAGAAGGTTACCAAACCACCATGTCACCATTTAAGAAAGAAAGGAAGAAATAAAAACACACAAAAAAAATTAATCTATAATTATTTTTTAATAACATAAAATATAGTATATAAATGGCTCTTGCCAATGTAGGCTAATAGATCAATTACTCAACCTTTACCTATGGTCATTACCCTATAAAATTCTTCTTCTTCTGGCAATATTTAACTTGTATCCAATATTTTCCTTCTGCTGGCAATCTCTCCCAGCTAATTCACTCAACAATTCTACAACAATGTTGCCAGAAGCCAAAATATGAATCTTGGACATTAGCAGGTAAGGAATACTTGTGTATACCGGACAGGTTTAGGCTTTTATATATCCAACCAGAAATGAGACTGACAATATTTAACTTTTTTGGGATAACAAAACACAAAGGTTAACCATACTCTTGCATCCATCAGGAGGTGAGATTATAAATATTACAAGGACAACAAAATAATCTTCTAAGAGCCTTCTGGAATTCCTCGGACAAGAAGTTGTTGGACTCCAATATATGATGGAAAAAGAGTTGGGCTGAGACGGAATGGATTTGTTAAGACTTTCTATCCAATTCTCAAATTATGAGATAGATGGTGAGGATCTGAGTAAAAATTCAGAAAACTAACTAGCTATTCATGGAAAAAGAGGTTCATCAGCACTTGCTATTATAACACTCCAGAAGAAATCTAGTACGAAGACAAAAGAATCAGAATATGCAAACGATGCTCCAGCCAACCATATATCTTAAGATAGTCAAAAGTAATATGAGGCCTAGTATCACTAATATCATGTTGTTCCTCTATATACTGTGGTACATAGCTCCCATTGATGTTTGCCATGTCATACAGAGAAAGTACAGCATCAGTTAATTTTAATTCGGAGGGAAAAATGGAAGGATGAGTAATGATTCCAATGATTATTACTTTTCAGAAAAAGCAGCAAATTTTGGATTTACAGACAGGATTTACAAATACAAGGATATTTTCAAGAAATGCTAAGTGTGCTTCTCTCCATATGTTATTTACTGAATAATTTCTTGATATTTACATATTCAAGCAGCTTTTGCATAAATACCTAGTTCACAGGGTTGCCAGTTTCAGAGCTCTGGGTTCCTCTAATGCGTCTTTAGTTTGTCGCCACTCATTCATCTCACTCTTTGCTCAAACCACTTATTTGTTACTGGAACATCTATGTTACGGAATATCCAACAATTCAGTAAGACTCCTAGTTCTTTGGTCTCCCATTTTGCATTCTCTTGTCCGTTGTTCACTTGGAGCTTTTGCTTTCTGTATGGAGCACCTAAGATATATTGCTCGTAATGCATCCAGGTCCGGTGTCCATTTTCTAATGACAGTGTGGGTCGGTTTCATTAGAATGGCACGCTCCCAATTCTGACTATTATAGACCTAGCCAATCTGGTTGATATCCAAACAGAAAATATGGATATCCTTCAAGCTAACACCAGAATGATATTAGAAAATTAACTCAAGGAGCTGAATAGCTTGGACTACTTCGTAGTGCATCCTTATTGTCTTCACAGATAGAAATTAGAGAAGTGCTTGTGTGAAATTTGATAAAAAAAAAAAAAAAGGAGTTTAAAGGAACATCAGATCCTAGTTCTTTTGCCCTGAATCTTTTGTTACAAAAGCACAAAAAGTTTACTATTGCTGCACCTGAAATGTTCTAATTTCCTTCTAAAGCTTGTCACATAGTAAATGAGTAGTCTATCACTTGCAGTGAGAGCTCTTTCAGTCTTTTGTTTGTTTTAAAGCAATTATCGTTCCTAGAGTAATTTGTGTTGTTGCAATTTGCATCATCAAACATATTATGAAGTATGACTGATTGATGATGTGCAAATTAAAAATCATGCCATGGCACTTATTGGCAAATCTCTTTATTTCACTTCAAGAATCAGAAAATGTGAAAATGTAATCCACCTGATAACTAAGGTTTTGAATTAGGTGGTACTCCACATATAGATATGAGCCATTTTACTAGCAAATCAATTAGGTTCAGTGCCCACCTCAGCTATGTCAGATTTCCTCCCTGAAAATAGTATGCCGAGGTCCAACCACAAGTATCAGAACTATACTTCTTATTAGCAGGCCGGCAGGCTTCAACACTACGAAGTGCTGCAGTGAGAATAACGAAGGATGCCTGCCATAACACAGATGAAGTGGACGAACCTCATTCTTTATCGACTGACTAACGAAACTCCTAGGGAGCATGAGAAGTTGAGAATTTGGAATATGAGGCAATCAATGGTGGAAGAGATCCCCCAAGAATTTGCACAAAATCCATTCTACGTTATCTGACTGACAAAACTTCTAAGGTCCATGAGTTAAGCTGAGAATTTGTGGTATGAAGTGTTCCAGTTGGTTCTAACCATAAAAATGTATGTAGGAGTACCTATGACGGAATGAGAACCTTAAGATACTCAGTGTTTGAGTTCAGGCAACACAATTACTAGTTAGCTCGTCCATCAATCGAAAGAGCACTTTAGAAATCATAATTATACACCATAATCATATTCGTGGGATAGAAACAAAGATAAGAAGTGCACAAAAGATGGCCAAGAACCCTAGTATGCACAGATTGTTGAAGTCCAGGCAACACATTTTCTAGTTAGAACATTGATAAACAAAAAAAAAAGAGTACTTTAGAACTCATCGTTATTACAAATCTATACAAAAGACGGAAGTAAAGGGCGCAAGGATAAAGGAAAACGAGGACAAGGAAAGAAAGAGCGAAAGAAACATATCTTGCGTACAACCTGTTTGTCTATTTGTCTCTCCGAGTCTTCCACCGCAGAATGTATACATGCTTGTTAGGAAGAGTTGGACGGTGAGAAGGCGTCCTTGACGGCAGAGGCCGCGGTGAGGTAGTTGAGGGTGTTCCGGAGCGTGTCGCGTTCCCTGCGGAGCCTGGCGCTTGTGTCCTCCAGCTCCAGCAGCGCCTGCTGTTCCCTGGGCGCCCCTTCGAAGGTGCTCCCGACGAAGAAAGAGAAGGGGGTCGGGAAGAGGTTGCGGCGTAGGTCCATGACGCCCTCCTTCTCGGGCTTGCCGTTGAGCCGGTTGGAGATGCGGATGACGTCGCGCATATAGTTTTCGACCTCGGCGGCGAGGGCCTCAAGGTCGTCGCCCTCTGCCGGACGCGGCGGAGGGCGGTCCTCGAGCCAGGAGACCTCAGCGACGAGGTAGGGTTTGGAGCGGAGGACGCGGGAGACGCGGAACCGCTCCTGGCCCTTGCAGATGAGAAAGAAGCGGTCGTCGACGAGGCGCTCGTGCTTGACGACCTCGCCGACGCAGCCGACGTCGGCGACGGAGCCTCCGTCAGAGAAGACGACGCCGAACCGAAGGTCGGTCTGCAGCAGGGTGTGCATCATGATGCGGTAGCGGAACTCGAAGATCTGGAGCGGGAGGACGGCGCCCGGGAAGAGGACGAGCGGCAGCGGAAAGAGGGGCAGCTCGACGAGGTCATTGGCGACGGGTCGCTCGGGCGGCGGAGATGAGGAGGAGGAAGAGGAGCAGCGAGCGGCGAAAGATTGGGTTTTGGGGCGGTAAAAGTGCTTGGAGGAGGTGGAGGAAGGTTTGGAAAGGGGAAAAGAGGGGTTTTTGATGAGCTGGGAATTGAGATGGGAAGAAGGAGACTGGGGATGGTGGTGGTGAACGGTGGTGGGTGAGTGAAGGAAGTGATGAGGGAGGAGAGCCATGGAGGGGGAGGGGGAGAGAGGGAGAGAGAAGGGGCTGGGCACTGACAAGTATCTGCTAGTTTTGATTGGGTGGGGAACGGGAACTAATAAGAGAGAGACCCTTATTATTCGCGTTGGGTGTTTTCTGCGCTTCAGTAGTGTGATTCTTTCTGTGGTTTTGTGGTTGAGGCGGCGGCGGCCGTGGTGGTGGAGAGGAGAGAGAGAGAGAGAGAGAGAGAGAGGTGGGGGAACGGAGATGGCGTGGAAGCAGGCGAGTGGAGGGAGGAAGTGGGTCCCGCGAAAACGTTGTAATGGTCCTTGGCATGCCACCCGGTTCGGCTTATCTTCATCACAAGGAAAAGAGGATTTTTTTTTTCCTTTTTCTTTTCACTTCTTTTTTTAATTTACTTTGAAAAAGTATTTTTATATTTATCTCTATAATAACGCAGAAGTAAAATCCCTATGTTTCAGTATTAGAAGAATTTAATAGAGAATATTTCAATACTAATCATATTTCGTCGGCTGACAACCATAGAGAAATTAACGTAGAAGATACTAGGACATCTATCTAACCTAACGCGAGAGATGGTAAGGTCGACTGACGATACCCCTTCGGTCGTCTTCTACTAATGTCGCACCGTGAGGGGTCGCATGGCTCGACGCCACACCACAAGAGATCATACAAGTCGGTCCACGTCATAAGAGGGCTATACGAGTCGATTGTTTATAAGAGGGCTAGACAGTCCCTATCAGTCATGGTCTCCTCTCATCGGTTTCATAAGTATAAAAATCGATTTTCGATCCCTAAACAAGGACGTGGCTCTAAACCCTAAAAGAAAAATAATCTTCACTCAAACTAATTTGAGCGTTAGAGGGATGGAAATCCTCTCTCTCTCTTCGGATATCGACTTATTATACAGGATCTTGAGGAGATCAAAACCATTCTAACCTTACCTCAGGACTATCCCAAAAGCTCGGAGGCCACATCAGAGCCACCCTCACAAGCTCCTATTCAACTTCAGCCTTCTCGTCCCTCCTTCGTGAGGATATTCTTGGACGATCTCATGTCTTCGAGATAAAATCGAGTTGTATCGACTCTCGGATCCATGACATCAAAGTGTTAACATGATTCATGCCCACTATACGTAGGAGTTTGAATAAGTAATAACGAAGTTAACGAAGGGGATAGGGTGTGCCAACGACGAATGCCTTTGCTTTAGTATACAACCTATCCACAGTGCCCCTAATTAATTAATTTATCGTTGAAGAAATTTGTGGTAGAATCATGAATGAAATTGGAGCGAAGGAAGCGTATGTGTCAAAGTTCATGTGGCGTAAAATTCTCTGATAGGATTAAAGAAGATGTGACAGATTCTTGTGCTTTTGGAAGATACAACGTGTGCGTACCATCCTCGATCATTATCTTTTAGTTCTCCACACGTACTAGTAGTATCTTGACGGAGGGAGGGAGGGAGGGAGGGAGGACTTCCCACCGCAAAAGGTTAAACACGAACTGACCCAACTCCCATCCGAGAACTGATTGAAACAACTCATCATGTCAGGCCTGATCGAAACAAGGCAAAGACAAAATCCCAGCAGTAAATTGCAAGCTTCGATTGACAACGGAAGCACATCATCGACTGGTGCAAGAGGATCCGTTCAATCGTTGAAGAACAGCTCTAGTAATCGCAGCAGAGTCTGGGGAATGATTTAACAACGTCGTCGTCGTCGTCGTCGTTTCTTATTCGATTCGTTCCTTGCTCCGATCCAACTAAACTTCACCACAAGTCGGCATTGTGATCCATATGAATCGAGGGCAGTGGTCTCTTCCCAAGGCTCCAACGAGATAGAGAAAATGATTCAGGAAGCCAAAATTAAGATCACTCTTAAAAATACGATGACAGACGTCAGTTCGATTCACTATACAGTAGAATATATCCTTCTCCATGTACGACCTCCAAAGCCATTCGAAGGAAACCGAGAGAAGTGAAGTAGAAAGGGGGAACTCAGTAGCAGAAGCTAACCAAGCCACAGGGTTTGATGATACGATGTATCATCCGACATCCAGATGATCATGGTCTAACATCATCGAAGAGCATCGACAAATGGCAGTAGGCGAATCGACATCCCACCTTTCAGAGGTGCTGAGATGTGTTCTTGTGGAAGAAGACAAGTTCTTTCTGCGCAAATGGCTACCGCAACATGAGCGCAGAGCTTCCCCAACTCGTTGGCCAACCGACTCCCCTCCCCATATACGAGGCTTCCGTCGCCTGTGACGTGATTGTAAAGTCACATCGGCCACTTGGTGGTAAGGCACTGTTAGACGATGCAGCTCCTTGCCATCCATCCACATTCGCGACCGGGTTCCATTTTCTCAAGCTACCAAGACCATTGACGTCTCCAAAAACATAATCGACCTGCACACATAAAATGATGCGTTGAATAAATCGAACCACACACACATATATTGGACTAGGAAACACTCGCTAGTGCTTCTTTAGTTTCACAAATAGGAGATGGATACCTGAATAACAATCGCTGGGAACGAGAGATTGATCCTTCTTCCTCTGTTTGGTGATCCAAGCATGAACAGGTACCTTTCAGCATCCTTCCTGGCTCTGCACGACTCCTGGTCCCCATCTTTGTTGAACGAGGATGGCCTGCACCTCTGCGGCATCCGGGAACATGCGCTCAATGTGGATGCTGTAATGTTTCTCCACCGCATCATGGATTCTGTACGTCTCGGCTGAGCATGCTAAATGGTCGTCCCGTTAGCATCTCATACTCTATCACTGCGACATCCTCTGCTCCACTGTTCCATAAAGCTTCATGTCAGATTACGGTGACTAGAGTTGGAATGTTTCGCTAATAGACAACACATCAAGCTTCATAACATCATTAAAGTGCTGCTCCGTTTCGAGATCTCAGTAAAATTCAGGCCACATTAGGACGATTTGCCAAGTGAAATGTGAAAGACCACAATGTATTTTGCTCCATCGGACTGCCGCAGTCCTCATCAAGCTTCATAACATATCATTAATTATGAGCACAGGTCCTCTATTCCAAGATCTCAGTAAATATCAGACTGCAGCAGGATGACATGCCAAGTAAAATGTCAGAAATACTCAAAGACTCCATTTGCTTTCCTAAGGTGAAAGGAACATATGACTCTAGCAAGACCACAAAAGGACATAACTTGTGTACGGGCAATCACAAAACCAAATTCACAACAAAAAATATCAACACGAATTCTCTATTTTAAGATCTCATCAAACTTCACTCCTTTAAAAACGAGGATTTGCCAAGTGCAGTGTTAAATATCAGCTTTATTACCCCATTTGCTTAATCATAGAGAAATTTAGCACATAACTAATGAAACCAGACTAATAACATGATCGATTATGAACACATAAAATAGAGGTTCCAAGCTATAGTTAAAGATGGGAAAGAAAGAAATAGTCAAACAAACATAAGGTTCAACCACCCAAGAACACCTCCAAGACTAGGAACCATATTAGATCGCCACCTACAGGCCAACGAGGTCTCAGGATTATGTGGGACTGCTCGTGCGCAGGAACATCGCATTCCTTGAATCACCAACTTAAAAATTGTTATAAATTAACATCATCGCCGGAGGACTCCAAATCTCGGATCATTCCAAGAAAAATCCAGTTTTTCTAAATCAGCAATCCAAAACCAAACCGAAGATCGAAACGATGACGCAATAATATAAAATTTAATAGAGAGAGAGAAAAAAAGACTCCTTTTGTTACCCAACTTTTCTCCATAACCCTATCCATGATCTCCGGCGGCGAGGCCTTGCCGCTGTCACCGACGCTTCCTTCTCTCCCACAGCGGCACTGGCTCCCTCCTCCTGGCGGACTGCATAGCGCAGCAGCACGGCGGCGCCATCATCCGCCGCTCACCGCGGGCGGCACGATCGGGGGCTCCGCATTCCTGACCGCAGAAAGAATCAAAGTTTCAGAAAAAAAAGAAGGAAAAAAAACCACAATAACATGCGAGCTTACGCAGAGGACACCAAGAACAGAGAGCCAAACCTTCAGAATCCACACAAGTGAGGGAATGGGAGGAGATGGAGGAGCTACATTGATGAATGAAACCTACACAAAACACAGGAATCTAATTCTCGACCACGATTGCTGCTGCTCTCGACAGAATAAATAATAACTGACGAGGACGGGGACGGTGTCGGTGCGATGAACCTGGACGCGGTCTCGGGGGGTAGCGGGAGGGACACCCCCACCGCCGAAGCACTTCCACCACATGGACAGGCCGGGTCATCAAGAACAGGGACCGGTCTGCGTTGGGCTGAGTGCAGGAATTAGGACAAAATTATATATACATATGGGACATGTACGTACACCATCAAATCAATTGAGTTCCCTCATATTTACTCATCAAAATCTAGCATATATATATATATATATATATATAGACAAATTCAATATTATTGTAGTAAATCCCTATTCAATATTTATTTATGTACTTTGTCCCATATGGATCATACTTTTTTTATTCTCATGTTAACGTTAAAGAGGCTTACGTGGCTGCTTTGCATTCTAAACTTCACTTTAATGGTAAAATAGAATATGACGTCACCTTTTAGAAACTCGATACATATGGCCTCCACGTATCAGGTTTTGATTGGAGAGTAGGCAGAAATATTTGGGTTCTCATGTCGTGGGAACAACAGCCGGCAGACTCTCATCAGTGTCCGAGTTTAATTAATGTTTGATGACTAGGCTTCAAATTAATGTTACCTACTTAGCTCTCTTCTTTTCCTTTTTCTTAACGAGAAATGATTACTTGATAAACCACCAACCACTATATATAAAATAAGAAAAAAATATATATCTTTTTTGGTCACAAGTGAAAATAGATTAAGCTTTTGACGCACAAAACATGAAGCTCGATCGAGATCTAATGGGGTTAGGAAGATCCACCACATCTTCTAGCTGTGGTTGAGCAATAACATCAAGTCTCACTAACTTGTGAACTCCATCCAAACATTCATATGGTTGCTGCATCTCAATCGATTTCCCCAACACTAGACGAAGCCAGAGGAATCTATTGCGCCGCTAACATCACCAGAATGTCTCACTTCAACTTCAATTCTTCCCAAGAGTGCAAAAGCAGACGGGGAAAAGAGAATGTAAAATGCAACTCCCGATGAAGAAACATTTGCCCCCGCTCGAAAGCAAACCCCCAGTAGTGTTTGTCCTCACCTTGTCGTCATCTCTCTCTCTCTCTCTGTGTCTCTACCATCCTCCAGCATCCTCTTCTTCCGGTCTATTTCTGCTTCTGCTCACAGGCCAAACAGGATGGACAAAGGTAGCGAGTAAAAGAAAATAAGAAAAAAACATAGCTTCGACATGTAAAAAAAAGAACAATTCGACACCAACTCCTACCAACAAGAACAACCAACTTCTTCCAAGAAAAATAATGCAGCCAACATGTCTTCCGAACACCAACAATTCCAGGCCCAATCCAACCTCCAAACTCAAGAAAAATCCCATGGGAGCAAATCCCTTCACTTTCCTCGCTCTCCTCCACCTCCTACTCTTCCATTCTGTCATTGCTGGTATTTGATTGAGCTGATCAGTATCACCTTCATGCACCACTTCAATTCTTTAGCTGGAATTCTCATCGTGTTCTGATTCAGGTTGCCTTTTGCGTGATGCGCTTTTGTAGTCATACCAGCGGCGGCGAATATTGGAACGGCGGAGCCGTTCATCGGCGTTAACATCGGCACCGACCTGACGGACCTGCTCCCGCCGGCGGACCTCGCGACCTTCCTCAAGGCGCAGCAGATCAAGCACGTCCGCCTCTACGACGCCGACCCGGGCATCCTCTCCGCCCTCGCTGGCGCTGGCGTCTCCGTGGCCGTCGGCGTGCCCAACAACCAGCTCCTCGCCCTGGGCTCCTCCCCGGCCACCGCCGACGCCTGGGTCGCCCGCCACGTCCTCCCCTTCCACCCGGCCACCCCCATCTCGGCGGTGGCCGTGGGCGACGAGGTCCCTGCGGCGCTGCCGTCCGCCCTCCCGCTCCTCCTCCCGGCCCTCCGCTCGCTCTCCGCCGCCCTCGCCGCCGCCAACCTCTCCTCCATCCCTGTCTCCACCCCGCTGCCCTTCTCAGTCGTCCTCGACCCGTTTCCACCCTCGCAGGCTTACTTCAACCAGACCCTGGCCAACTCCTTCTTCCTCCCCCTCCTCCGGTTCCTCGCCGACACGGCCTCTCCTCTCATGCTCAACCTCTACCCTTACTACGCCTTCGTGCAGAGCCGCGGCGCCGTGCCCCTGGACAACGCCCTGTTCAAGCCGCTTTCCCCGTCCCTCGAGGAGATCGATCCCAACACGCTCCTCCACTACACCAACGTGCTCGACGCCATGGTCGACGCTGCGTACGTCTCCATGCGCAACCTCAACTTCACCGGCGTGCCCGTGCTCATCACCGAGACCGGGTGGCCCCATAACGGCTCCCGCCGCGACGAGCCCTACGCCACCGCCAATTACGCCAGCACCTACACCTCCAACCTCATCCGCCACATGCTCGACCGCCGCGGCACGCCGCTGCGCCCGGAGGCCACCCCCAGCGTCTACATCTACGAGCTGTTCGACGAGGACCTGCGCCCGGGACCGTTGTCGGAGGCCCACTGGGGACTCTTCTACGGGAACGGGACGCCGGCGTACCTGCTCAACGTGGCCGGGGCGGGGGGATTCCTGGCCAACGACACCACGAACCGGACGTACTGCGTGGCGGCGGAGGAAGCGGACCGACGGTCGCTGCAGGCGGCGCTGGACTGGGCATGCGGACCGGGTCGGGCCAACTGCTCGGAGATACAGCCCGGGGAGAGCTGCTACCAGCCAAACGACGTGAGGAGCCACGCCTCGTACGCCTTCGACAGCTATTACCAGATGCAGGGCAAGGCCGCCGGTTCCTGCTTCTTCCAGGGCGTCGCCATGATCACCACCACCGACCCAAGTGAGCCAGTCAATTAGCTCCTCTTTGTCATTTTCCTTCCCGAAACCTTCATCATTACAGTCTTTCTATGCTTTTTACCTTACCAGTAGCTTGTGATTAGCATTGAACCAATTAGCATTAATGCCGTATCCAAGTACAGCAGTCAAAAGTTCAGCGGGGTGCCGAAGGGAGAATGAGGCGAGCATGAGAGAGAGTAGGCGGGTCATGGGACAGTGAAGTCAGAGCAGAGTAGTCTGCTGTAAATTTTGTCTGTTACCCCTTGCATCGGGAGGCAAATCCGAAGAAGGAATCTTTTAGACTGCAGAACGAAGGAAGCTGCTCGGATCGGACTAGTTCTGAAGGCATCGCAAACTTTCCAGTGTCACCATTCCATTATTCTAGACATGGTTTAGTATGGTTCACGTGAATCCTAGTGGCTTCTCGTCCATAGAATTCTTCTTCGTGGAATTGACTTCATATTAGATTACACTGCTGCCGGCGAAGGTAGCGCGTCAGAAGAGTTCGCTTGCAGAGGCATCTTCCACCTGACTCGGTGTGGTCCTCGATCGATCCTTCAACAGCCTAAATTAGATTTCAGGAGAGACAATTGCTTCTCGGTAAGGGGTTGTCCTGGTCCTACCATTGCTTACTATATTGATTGCAACCTACCTGGAGAAGTTTCTTGTGGAATTGAAGGAAGCTCTGTTGCTATGACTCGGTCCGGGAGTCCCACTCAGGTGGTGCTGCTGCTGTGCCAGCACCATTGATGCATTTTTATGGTTAAGTGGCGAAACACGGAAGCGAGCACAGAGTGATTTGGTGCCGCAGAAGCTCATCATTTAGCAACGCGTTTCCTCGTAACAGGATGTTATTGTTTCACCGTATATAGGAGGAGGCGATGGTTGAGAAGACTCATCATCATGTATGTCTGGAGGAGAGGAGAGGAGATAGAGGCAGCGGTGTTGTGACCTTTTTACTATCATTTGCAAACAACGATCTAATCCCCATCCCTTGTCACAGTTCTGAGGTGAAGAACCATCGTATTTGACCGCATGATATATCGAACAAACTATTCTGAGATAGAACCCATCTTTTTGCCTTTTTTTTTTCTTTCTGATTTAGGGTTCTGATGAGATCTTTTTCTCCGATAACTGAGACATGCGAGCGATACCGCTCCGTGGTAGTCCTATGCATCTCGTGTTACCGGATGTCTCGAATGGTAAATGATTGCGACTCCTTCTCATGCATGCTTTTTAGATGTAGTCTGTAGTTGCTTTTGCTTTGTCAGCACATGTCTTCCTTCTTATTGCTACAAAGAAATTAGTTTATCGATCTGTCTTTTTTGCTATAAAGATTGTGTTGCCCTGTGGATCGCTGAGAACGCAAGCATGTTGTTTTGCAGGCCATGGGAAATGCATCTTTCCTGGAAGGTGAGGAACCTTAGCGACCTTTTTTTTTTTTATCTTTAGCCAACGATTTACTAGTGGCTTCAACGATTCCTTTCTCTTGGCATTTCATCCTGCAACTTCATGTCGAAGCATGTAAGAGACCATGCAGTCACACACACCAACATGGTTTGAAAAAGAAGAAAAATCTTGAAAGTCCCCAAGGAAGAACAAGAGACAGAGAGAAGCGAAAAACGACTCTAAATAAATTTCTCAACACAAAAAAATCTTATGGGTGACTTGTTAGATGGCCAAATTCTAATGTTCTATGGTCATTGATTGACTATGGACTTTGTTATTGTTGTGTGCTGTGCAGCAAACAGAGGAGTGCCACAGGAGCAGGAACGAACAAGGCCGAATCCAGTAAGGCTGTGGTGTCCCCGACATCGAGACTAGGAAAAGGAAGATTGTATGAACACATTGTTCCTATGATCTTAAACTCGATACTGCTAGTAGTTTGTGTCTCGATATGAAATTTTCGGACTTGATGACCGTCAAGAAAGAAGAGAATCTTCGACAAACTTGCAAGCGAGTTCTTGTTCGGCGATAACAACCAATCTCTCTGGCGATTTTGTAAAGCCCTTCAAATCGATTTTCCTCGCACCTTCTGTAATATTTGTTCTTTCGGTAATAAGACGTCGTCATTCTTCTCTTTTCGAGTAGTTTAGTTTGGAAAAATAACTCTTCCAAAGTGCATTCCAAGCCAGCAAAGAAAGCGGCAGTCTAAAACTACGCCGAAGGTGCCAATTAGATCTGATTCAAGCAAAATATGGCACAATCCAGCTGGCCGTAAATCGTATGATATTGGCACTTGGAGTTAGTACTGTCATGATTGAAGCAATCTATGGTACCCATCATGAAGAAAACAAAGCTGCATATTTGTTTTTTCAGATTTCCAGGAATCATAACTCTCAAGAGTAGTACTATCAACTAGTAGCAGTGATTGTGGAAACAAACAATACAAGGTAACATTGATGAACAGAGCATCAACCTGGTTTTCCACATTTCATGATCAAACAATCTAGATTTACACCATGATCTTTTGGGCAAAAAATCTCTAAATGCATCCGATTTCCATTTTCTAATCCTCTTTGCGAGAGCATAGATTTGATTATGTGACCAGACTCCGTAGAAGGATGCAGTATACATCAAGCTATGGAGCAATGCACATATCCAAAATTGGATGACTAACCATTCGTCCATGTTACTTTATCAAAGCACCAAAAAGAGGAGGAGATGGGAGAGAATCCTACAAAATGCTGCATCTTATGAGCAGGCTTGTTCCTCTAGTTCTGAGTTTGCATTCTATAAGATCACAGGCTAGAGATGGTTAAGAGCAACCCATAATGATCACTAGGCAATACTGGAAGGACCAGCTTCTTGAACACCTTTCTCACTTTCTTCTCCTTGCAGTAGGATAGACCTGGTATAGCCTCCACCCCTATCATTTCGATGCCATCAACCTTGAAATCATGCAAGTTACACATGAATCTATCCAGCCTCTTCTGCAAAGTCCGGTTGCCTGACAACATCTGGTTGGCCTTGGTATCATAAGTCCAACCATTTTCCCCAGGTCTTAGCTCCAGCCAAGCATCAATCCATCCATCAGGTAGAGGAAATGCACCATCCAACTTGTCATCCCAGTTCATGTCGCCCGCAAATATTGCATTTGGTGAATCTTTGAGAAGGTTGATGGCCTCCTTTGCTTGTGCTACACGTTCTTTACTATACATTTGGTCCCATCGTGGAGGTGCAGGACAGGGGCTTTCAAGGTGACTAGTGGCAACGATGAGCTTTTTGCTCCCTCCAACATCAATATCAGCTAAGCATAGCTCTCTTCCCATCACTGAATTGGTGAATGGAATGCAGCTAAATCCCTTCATGGGCAGCTTACTCATCTGTGACAAATACAACAAGTTTAAAACTTCTGTAAAATTTAAGCACATCCAAGTTTGACAACAAGAGAAAAGCAAAGAACACAAGGCATAGAACACGCCATCAGAAAGAAAGAAACAGAAGAAGCCATTAGCAATGATACTTATATGGAAATCTATTTATAACAATACATGAACTAGCACTGTAGCTGAATCACCAAATAAATAGGAACAAAAGAAACTGCAAACACATAATGAAAATGTCATAACAGGTAATGCATGTGTTGAGATAAAAATGCATTCATGAAAGTGAATATTAGCTGATTATGATAATGAACACATGAAGATAATTATCTACAGTGAAAAAACAGTCATGAGCTATGACTATTAAATTTAGACAAATTTTCTGATCAAACAAATGAAGTCAGAGGTGGTAAAGTTAACATTTCAAATATTATCAGTCCATAAATTGAATCCGATATATTTATGTGTGCATGGGCATCAAACTGTTAACCTGTAACTTCAAATTTGAACTCTAGATATCACTGCAAGTCTTGCAATATAAAGAAACTGCATAACTTATTTTCAGAAAAGAAAACAATTAACAGTAATTTCCATCAAATCTGCATATTAATAGCTACTATAATCAGAAAAGCTAAAAACATATAAATGAATTAATAGTTTATCACTTCATTGCTCATAGTCAGAGTATTAGACCTAGTTGCTCCAGAAATATAAGACAACTTGAAGACAAAAACAAAAACGTAGCCTAAAATTTACTTAACAGCACAAAAGAATATATGGTGCAAACCATGAAATCAAACCTGCATGCAGAAATATGGTCTCTCAGTAGACAGGTGCTGTGGCACTGAACATTTGTAATGTTTCAACCAGTTTGATTCTTGGAAAATCTCATAAATACTTGGTGTGACCTCCTGCATGGTAAAAGTCATAACTAACATTGCTGCTAAAGATCAGAGTTGTTAATGATCTAAGAGAAGCAATCAGACCTGCAGACATATGAAATCTGGTGAGTTTTGCTCAATAAGATCACCAAGACCTTGCATTCGCCTACGTAGTTCCAGGTCCTCACGGAACCAGACATTATAGCTCAAAATTTTTATGATGCACCTCTTTGGATTCTCGCCTACATTTCCTGTGAAAAACAGCATTAAAAGCGTCAGCTTCTGATAGCCTCAACAGAAAGAAAAATAGAATCTCCAATTTTTTGATAGTCGAGAAATAATTGAGTGACTTGTTTGGCAATTTATATGCCGGAGAAATTTCATAATCTCAGAGTACATCTTCAACCATCCATCAGAATATTTCTTGACGACAGAACATTGCACAGCCTAACATGAAATATGTATTGCTTACCGGTTATACGTCATGAAAAAAAAATGCTAAGGATAGATTTGATCAGGATTGTACATGATGATATTTCTTTAACCCTGTAAGAAATATAACTGTAAAACCTTTCCAGAGAAACCTATGCATACAGGACGTGGTTGGCTAGCACAATTGTCAGGTATTATGTATTTGTCAAAAAAGGAAATCTCAATGACTAACTTGCAACTCATCTTCTTGCTCCAACTATATATCCACCACAGCCGCTCAGAATCTAACCACTCATATTATTAGATTTTAGTTTAGCTTTGATAGTGGAAGGACAAAAATATTCTCCATAATAACTTCTAGTTAAAATAATCATTCACGAGATGTCTTTATAGGCACAGACCAAGTCAAGAAGCATTAGCACCTCATTACAACATTAACCATCCAGTAATCTGGACATGCAGACCATGGCCATGTATCACACTTGGGCTTCCATGATAGTACTTCTGTTTCGTATTTATCGATTAAAATACTTGACTAAAGTTTAAGCTCTGCCACTTACAGACATGGATCTCCTCATTGAGAAGAATATCTTGTCCTGCCCAAATGCACTATATAAGTGCCACATACGTATCGTGTGTTAATTATATGAACTTTGCTTACGAACCCTGGAAACAGAATTCCTGGCCATTCAGAATACTCATTTTGACTTCCGGTCTAAATTTAGTTAATATCAACCTTTTCCAGCAACATCTAGAGTAGATTATTCATTTTTGGAAATGTTCAGCAATGATATACACATGTTTTGCATCTCATCTGAGTATGCTTTTGGATGAGGCAAAACTTCTGAATATTAGCACAAAAGAAGCTATTCAAAGCCTGAAAAAGAAAATGGTTAATGTGTCTCACGTTTCTTCTAATCAATTATATGTTAATCAAATGATGAGTTATGCAAGTGTTAATATCATATAAGTAGCATACTAAACCTAACTAAGATGAAATTCGGCAAAAAATATCTTCTTGGATGACA